TAGCTGAATTGCTGTGTTATGTCTGTCATCGTTTAGGTCTATTGAAGTTTGGACGGAACTTGGCTCAGTGGTTTGGAACTAATTACAAGATACCGTCGCTATCTGACATCCGTAGTTATTAATGTAGTGAACGATTAATCAAAAGATATGACGTATTCAGTACTTAGTGTGATTGGCTTTATGATTGAAGGTTACGCCCTAGAGTCTTTTTACTGCATTGTAATTGGTCAGAGTTTTGAAAATGAATAAAGAGAGTTTGAGTTGGTCTTGACGAACACAGCACGATAGACACAGAAGAGAGAGAGAGAATGCAGTCCTGGGCAGTCGAGAGTCCTGGAGAGACTTGGGGCGAGCCTTGACGCAGTCTAAGAGAGTCTTGGGTCAGCCTTGCGAGAGTCTTGGGGACTTTTCCCCAGGGCGCTGTGTCTTATAGAGTGCTCGATAGATCGACTAAGACGAGAGCTGAAACGTATTTCGTTGTGTGTGCCTTATTTGACAGTAAGGTATAAGTGACTTTCCCGATCCCGTACCTCAAGGGGACGAGATAGAGAGACGAGACGAGATTCCCCCGACAGTGTGGAGAACCCGAGAAAAAGAGATTTACCCCTGATAGCTCTAGTAAACGGCAGAGGCTCGCAAGAGAAGAAGTAAAGCAGTTCAATTGTGAAAAGTTTTCAACTTTTGTGAAACTCAAGATATGATGGAAACAGCCTGAGCATTATTTTAAATAAAAAAATAGGTCACAGACTTTTATCTTAAAAAACGACAGTTTCAGTGGTACGTTCTATGGTGGCGTATGTACGCGATGGTGATTTATTTTACTTGTATGCGCACTGGTCATCACAGTCATTTGAAAATTTCTCGTAAATATTACCAGAAATAAATCAATGGCAACATTGACGTACTAATATATATTAAAAATCTAATATTTGTTGTGTCAATCATATAGTTCCCTTCCATGAACTGCGAAAATACGTTTTCCGTCGTTCTATTTGTGGCTTGTACCACGTACCACTCCCACAACCACGTCCTACTAATTAACATAATTTAAAACAATCCCTGAGTGGTTATCTCTGAAATTGACAAATCGCCAAGCGGTATGACTGAACTATTTGTCAAAGAATCAATTGCAATCTATTTAGACATTCTTCATTATCGCTACTCACACCAAAAAAAGGAAAGATAGAATTCATGAACAGAGGTTTGTCTTAGTATATGTTGAAATAATCCAATAATGCTTCAAATTTTAGATACTGTAAAGGGGGTAATTATTCACTGGGTTTTAATTTGGCTTATTTCGCTGACTGGAAAATGCGCTAAATTAAAACCCAGTGAATATGTAAAATTTAGCATAGAACACATTATCTATATGACGAAACCGTGAATTTAAAACCCACTGAATATGCCTGAAATGGTAAATCAGTGAAATTTAAACCCAGTGAAAATTAGTCATTTTACAGTAACTCAATATATAACACATGTTCTGTTCATCTTTAGATTCGGATTCTGTGGCAAATATCGAAGAGGCAATCAGCCAATATCATCAACATACCTGTATACAGTTTGTGCAACGTACCACGCAAGAAGACTATGTGTACATCTACCCCGGAAATGGGTACGTCATTACGTTTCCTAACATGTTTTCAGGCTAGATGAAGAGTGTGCACGCCCCCCGGGGGGGGGCAATACATAGAACTTGCCTAATGGGGACGTGCCCCTGAAATGGGTCTCGTTTTTTAGATTTTATGTATAAGTTTCGGTCTTATTTCTGGTCAAGATAGGTATAAATATCAGTAATATTTTTCCGATTTGGTATACTTATGGTTCCGTATATGAGCGAATATCTCCGTCTCAGACCCCGGCCTCAATCCATATATACATCAACCCGGAAATTAAACAAGGCAATCAACATTTAAACGGTGATTTAACACGGAATAGAAGAGGGCGCACATTCCTCAGTGAAACCTATTGGCTTACATGAGCTTCTATTGGAGATGCTCTTCTAATAGAGCAAATACTGTTTTATTTGGAATAAACAGTGATGACAGAAATGGTACTTTGGTATAAATATGGATATAGATTTTGCCACTATCCAGGTATACACTTTTGAGCACTCAGGGGCACCTCTCAACCCAGCTACGTATGAACTACCCGTAGTGTGCACAGTGCAACAAAAGAAAACCACAACCTTTTCCTGAGTCATTTTGTCCTTAAAGCATCCCTCATTGCACCGTTTAATAGGGTTACATTGACCAGCCATCGCTGAAATTTGTAAAACCGATCCATCCTGTTGACAAATAACAGCACATTATGTAAACATACCAAACTTATATTTTTTTCGCAGTTGTTATTCCAGTATTGGCCGAGACGGTGGACGCCAGCCATTGTCTCTAGGGTACGGATGTACGCGTCACCCCGTGACTACAATGCATGAGTTGATGCACGCTGTGGGTTTCTTCCACGAACAGAGTCGAACTGACAGAGATGATTATGTGTACATCTTATGGCAGAATATCCAGGAAGGTAAAAGTAGTTACAGATGATCTCTGTAACAATAATGACATTATGTATTGAAGTATTGAAGAAATATGTTCACCTCGGCCTTATTATGTAAAATTCTTGAAAAGGTGGTTATCTCAACTCGACAATTTAAAGGGTGGTCATCGTCGCGCTGCGCATGTGCGACATTGATTAACATTGATTTTCCCACAATCCAATGCGCTATTCTAATGGAAATCACAGATATGAGGTTTGACCTGGGCGCGATTTGCACTAAATACCGCCGGTGACTCCTTCCATACCTCCAATCACCTAAAAATTACCTAATTAAAGCTTGGTCACTTCTCAGTTTGGACTCGTTGATCTGCGCAAAAGTCAAAGTCGCCATCTTTGTTTATATGAGACCCATATATCTCGCGCATGCGTGGCGCGACGACTACCGCCCTTTACTAAAACTGCCCCTGCATACATTGTGGATTTGATCCATCTCAGACCCACAATTACTTCTTTCAAATGACAAATGTCAACTCCATGGTGAAGAAGCTAACCTAATGAACATGTAATTTGGGGTGTTTCAGCTACAGCTGTGAAATTACAAAAGGATATTAGAACTCGTTTAGTTTTGTTGAACACCTTTGAACAGCGCCATCTAATTTTCATTATCAAAGTGTTTAATTGAAAAATAAACAAATTATTATCATTGTACCCATATCATCGTTAATTTGTATATGATATAATATAACATTCTTACCTCCGATGAAATATCATAATTAAAAATAACCTTAATGATTCATTTCGTCTTTTCACAGAACACAAACACAATTTTGAGAGGCACGAAGCCGATTACATCAATGACCTTGGAGCAAGTTATGATTATTTTTCCATAATGCACTATTCTCATACATCGTTCACAATCGACGGTCAGTCAACCATCTTACCGACTCAGGACTCAGGAGTGTCACCAGAAGACCTGGGATCAAGTTTAGTGTTCACAGTCACAGACTTGTACAAACTGAACCGTTTATACAATTGCGGTAAGTCAGCAATAACTGGTTCAAGACTACTACGCTGCGCCCTCTAGGGACGTAATGCTTCTGTGACGTCAAAGTGACGTATAGGGATGGAGCCAATGACGTTCAAATCCGATAACTGTGTTCGATTGTGTAGTCGTTCGCCATCTAAAATATAGTGAAATATGTAAAACTATTTTGTCGCTGTGAACGGCATTGATGTCACCCACGTCATAATTGCTAGGTGTTATTCGCCGCTAGAGGGCTCAGCTTATGGAAAAAAAATGTATTGTTTTCTCGTAGACATCAATGCTAATGTTTGAATATGATTAATGTTTGAATATCATTCAGCCATGGCCAATAACTTTATTGAGTCAAACAAATATCAGTTATTACTAACTTATAGCACAGTTTTTCACAATGTTCGTGTGGTCATTAGTAGTCAACTTTCGAACTCAATGACTAAATCATGGCCGCCACCCGAATTACCAAATCCGAATATACAAGAAAAAACATTATCATTTAAACTGTTTGATTTTGTATTGGCCTACAACAATTCTAATTTAATATGACCTCGATTCCACTCCCCCCCCCCCAATAGGAATTTTCAGAGAAAAACACATCTTGTTTATTGGCAATTCATCAGAAGTTAAGTTGATTATTGATCTTTCTCCAACTACCTATTGTTTGGATTTTAACGATGTCCGGGTCTTCATTTCCCGTTCGGCAACGATAGATAGGTGTACTTTTTTGAAAGAAACACATGTATACAATACTTTGTCGTATGAGTTTGTTTTCACAAAGTGTAGTTCAACCACCGTTATGTAACCCCCTCCAAACGCGTATTAATCTATTTCACTTATTTGTCTATAAATACAGATGGAAGTGGTGGCATTGGAAAGGAAGGTACGATTAAAAGTGTTTTGTTTCTATATTGAATCGTTCGTAGTTTAGTTGCTTTAATCGATTAAAAGCTTTGTTTAAGCGTAATATAAACAAACATATTTAATGTAACTAAACACATTAACCATGATCTATATAATTTTTTAGAATGTGGCATTGAACATCGGCTCTCCGCTGGTTCGTCTATTGAAATAATGTCCCCCAATCACCCCGGCAACTATGACGATAACGCCGACTGTACATGGACCGTCATCAATAGAGATGGAGGAACCGTTCGACTTGAATTTGTTAGCTTTGACACTGAGATTCAGTATGATTATGTGCAGTTCGGTAGCGGGAGCTATCCCAATACGGACGCCGAACGGCATGATGGGAACGCGCTTCCGAGCGTCTTCAACTCGCAATCGGAAACTGCGTGGATAACGTTCCGTTCCGACAGTTCAAACGTTATGACTGGGTTTAAATTGTCGGCTACTGCAATTGGAGGTACGTAAAACCTAGTTAGCGCCCATCCGGGGAAGAATTGTTTTCTGTCGGTCGCGCGCATTGGATAAAGTCAAACCTTTGTACTGACATTTTAGTTAAAAGCACGCCCTCAATAGCGACAATTGTGCATTTTCCATAGATACCAGTGAGTACGAATAGTTGAGGAATTCATCGGTGTATTGCTATGACAATAAATATTAAAAGAATTTGTATCACATTTATTCACCTACTTGAAGGAGAAAAACAGTGCATTCATAATTATTTATTTGTTTTGTTCTTTTTCACCAGGCGGAGAAGACGGTAAGTAGGCACATGACTTTATCCCGCTTTCAACTGTAATTTATCGATCTTATTTGTGATTGAGAATACGTTCTTGCATATATTGTCAGTCCCGAAGTTATTTAAAATGAATCATTATAATTTATACACCACGTAAGTTAATCACAGCGCGGTTGGCCAATCAGCTGAATCAGCTGACTTTCGTAACAAGAGACAAGCTAGTGGTTATTGGACATATTTCAATGCTGAAATCTCTAAAGCCACTGGCCTGACAGTTTCAATATTTCTGTAGAGTTATTTAAATTAGTAAAGTACGAGTGGTAGGCTGTTATGTTCAGTGTCAACAAACGACGGAAAATGAAGAATGTTTTGTATATAAATTAATTATGTTGACAGTTCCGCCGACTACTTTTAAATTACGTCGAGGCAACTAGCACACAAATATGTAACATCATGGCATAGCGGGCGTTGTTGCGGACTACGCCTCGTGGTATTACTTATGCTAAATACATTTATTTGCAAGAATTATGCGAATCATCTTTCATAACATTATCACACTGCTGATTTGTTAATGTATTCAAATGATTTGTTAATGTTTAACTTGATTAGTTAATGTGTTCACATGATTTGTTAATGTGTTCAAATGATTTGTTAATGTGTTCAAATGATTTGTTAATGTGTTCAAATGATTTGTTAATGTGTTCACGTGATTTATTATTGTGTTCACATGATTTGTTAATGTGTTCACATGATTTGTTAATATGTTAACATGTTTTGTTAATGTGTTCAAATGATTTGTTAATGTGCTTACATGATTTGATAATGTGTTCACATGATTTGTTAATGTTTCACGTGATTTGTTAATGTTTTCACGTGATTTGTTAATTTGTCCAAATGATTTGTTAATGTTTTAACATGTTTTGTTAATGTATTCAAATAATTTGTTAACGTGTTCACGTGATTTGTTAATGTGTTCAAATGATTTGTTAATGTGTTCAAATGTTTTGTTAATGTGTTCAAATGATTTGTTAATGTGTTCAAATGATTTTTTAATGTTTCAAATGATCTGTTAATGTATCCACATGATTTGTTAATGTGTTCACATGATTTGTTAATGTGTTCAAATGATTTGTTAATGTATTCAAATAATTTGTTAACGTGTTCACGTGATTTGTTAATGTGTTCAAATGATTTGTTAATGTGTTGAAATGATTTGTTAATGTGTTCAAATGATTTGTTAATGTTTCAAATGATCTGTTAATGTGTTCACATGATTTGTTAATGTGTTTACATGATTTATTTAATGATTGGCTATCGTGCAATAATAATGGACATTTGCATTGTTAGTTTCACTGCTGGTTTATCTTTTTAATTTTCAGAATGTGGTGGTAGTTATGAACTTGGCGAGGGTTCAATGTTAGAGATATCGTCTCCAAATTATCCCAACAACTACGGCAATAACTTAGACTGTTTCTGGAAATTTACGCATTTCAGTGGGGGAGAAATTAAATTCCGTTTCACCAACCTAGATACGGAACCCAGGTATGACTACGTGCAGTTCGGCGATGGGAGTTCTCTCGATCAAAACGCTGCCAAACACTCTGGCATTACCACCCCAGCTGATACTACGTTGTCTGGTGGCGAGGCATGGGTCTTATTCCATTCTGATGAAACAGCTACTATGACAGGATTTCAACTTCGGGTAGAAGGGCTTGGAGGAGGTAAGTAATCCACGTGCTGCTAATGCTGTAACCGGTTTCATATATATATTTTTATTCAATACAAAGAAACAATCAACATTGTTGAGTTGTTGATATGACATACAAACAAATACACAGAAAACCAGTATTCAAGTTAATCTCCTGTAATTGCTATAATATGCTAGAAAAAAGGATAACTGAATCACACACATACACACATAATATTTAGGCAGAAAGGAGGTACTTTAATACACACTAGACCTCAGTACCCCAGACCACAACAGGAAAGTAAGTAATTACTGAAACTTATTAAATTCACAATGCTGTTAGAAGTGTTACAATTCAGAAAATGGGTGTGGGAAATAAAAAGAAAAGAAATGGGGAAGTGGTCGGTTGTTGAACAAATATAAAGCAGCCGGGAAAACAAAAAGACTGAAGCAGACTGAGAATCTGCTGCCACTAGGTGGCGCTATATACTGGTGGCTACAATAGAGATAAACTGAAAAGGCAAATCTATATATGTGCAGCAATTAACCAAATTTATACTGAAAACAAATTTAACACAATTATGTCCTTGACAGACTACATGGATTATTTTATAAAAGTGATCTTATATGATAATCGAACTTTCAGCAA